TCCTCAAACGGCGCTTCTAGGAGGTGAGCATCTTCGTACTCACGCCAGGCTCGAATGAATTTGTTCGGGAAGATCCAAGTTAACGCGAACAAAAGTAGGCAAAGATGGTTGGCTCATGGAGCTTGGTCGGCAAAAAGCTCCTGTGCCTGACAGATAAGGACGGCATTTTGCCTTATTCCTTCTACAAGCGCGTCTATGGCAGATCCACACATCGTCTTGAGGTCCAAAGGTAATGGACTCAGAGCATTTGGGCGCATTTGAACACTTGTGGTCTAGGCTCCGTAACCAGGTTTGGAAGTTGTCCGCGCCCAGTTTCAGATTTTCAAACAAGTGCAACCACTTGGAATCTTTTAGCTCCATCATGCGATTATGACGATGAGTAGCGTTGAGAGTCAGGCTGGGCGCAAATGAAGAGTTCGGAAGCTTGGCAACTCATCGATTTGATTTTGGCGCAAAACGCGCCTCTGATTCTGGCGCGAAAGCGCTCTGTTCCGATTGAATTCTGTTCAAAAGGCTCCCTTCTGGTGATATCACATGAGAACGTCGAAAAAGCGTGACGCCGGCGTGTGTGGCGCGGATGTCAGGCGTTTTCGTGACAAACTGATGCAAAATTGTGTTCTACGGGGCAAATTATCTCCCGAGACAAGTTTCTGGCCGGTTTTATTTCTTAGGAGAGAAATTTTGATAAAAATCCAGTCCAATCTTTACAATGTGGAGCAGCAAAGGGCAAATTGTGTTCTACCTACCCTTATTCAGCAGCCGGCCATGTTTGTTTTTCACTTGGAAGGTACATTTTGCCAAACGGCGGTGGCACAAATACGAGCAGGGCGGGGGAGCAGAAACTCATTGGGTTGTGCTGAAGTCTGGAGAATCTAAATATCCTTCAACTGAAATCAGTCGTTGCTCAGAGGTAAGGGATAATGAAGCACCCTGGAAGGTTCTGGGTCACAAAATAAGAGAAGTTCTTTGCTAATCATCAGTTGTGAACATGCGGGAAACCATGTTTTCAAGCAGTCGATCCGAGTGGCAATCGCATGGTCCAGGCCCACTGAATATCGCTGATCAGTATTTTTCAAGGTAACAGCCATCACAGCGGTCCGTTCAGGGGTCGCAAGTGCTGTAGTAGAAGCTGCATTCCGATGGTCAGACAGTCGAAGGTAATGTCAAAGTGATGCGTAAATTGGCGTCCACCAGATAAGATGTCAACGATTGTTTTCTTTCAATACAGGGTGTGACTTCGCACGGGCTACACTCCAGATTCTCAAGTCGAAACGAAAAAATTATTGATCAATAGCATTATTGTCTTTTCCACGTTACATCGACAACTGGAAAGAAGACCACTGACGGTGCTGTGACATCTTGAATACTTTCTTAATGTTGGTCTGATTCTGTAATATAGTTTTTGTACCTCAAATATTCCAAGTCCCACTTCTGCATACATTTATTGACATAGTTGCTCATAAATTTGTTGCAAATAAATTATAAATAAATGTTTCAGTAATCAGCATGAGTCCACGCTCAGATATTTCGCAAAACTCACTTCTT